AGTAATAAGAGGCTTTAACATTGTCATATCAATGGATACATCATCCAGATAGAAAGTCAACATGGAAACATTGACCTTAGTCAACACATTAAGACAGATGGGCTTAATAGATATATATGGAACATTCCAACCCAAAACAGCCAAATGCACATTATTTTCAAGTGCACATGAAACATTCTCTAAGATAGATCATGTAGGCCACAAATCAAATCTCAATAAATTGAAGAAGAGTGAAATCATATCAAGCATCTTTACTGACAACAACCATATGAAAAAAGAAATAATATACAGGAATAAAACCAGAAAAACACACAAATAAATGGAGGCTAAACAACATGCTTTTTTATTATTATTGATTAAGGTATTACATATATTTCCTTATCCCCCCAATTGCCCTACCCACCCCCCTGTTCATACCTGCACCACCCTGGTGTCTGTGTCCATTGGTTAGGCTTATATGCATGCATACAAGTCCTTTGGTTGATCTCTCCCGTTTACCCCCACACTCCCCTTTACTCAGATTCATCAAGAAAAAAACAGAAAGGACCCAACTAAATAAACTCTGAAATGAAAGAAGTTCAACTGACAACACAAATACAAAGGATAGTAAGAGAATACTATGAACTATTCTATGCCAACAAATTGGACAACCTGGAAGAAATGGATAAATTCCTCAAAACATACAACCTTCCAAGACTGAACCAGGAAGTAACAGAAAATGTGAACAGATTGATTAGTAGTATCAAAACTGACTATGTAATAAAAAACTCCCAACAAACCAAAGTCCAGGACCAGACAGCTTCATAGCTTAACTCTATTAAACATTTAAAGAAAAATTAATACTTCTCAAAATATTCCAAAAATTGAAGAGGAACATTGAAGATGAACAAATGCTTCCAGATTCATTCCACGAGGTCAGCATTACCCTGAATCCAAAATTAGAGAGAGAGAGAAAGAGAGAGAGAGAGAGAGAGAGAGAGAGAGAAAGAGAGAGAGAGAGAGAGAGAGAAAAGAAGGAAACTACAGGGCAATATCCCTGATGAACAGAAATGCAAAAATTCTCAACAAAATAAAACAAATTTAACAATACATTAAAAGGATTCTATACCATCAGAAAGTGGGATGCAAGGATGGTTTAATATTTGCCAGTCAACAGGATATACACATTAATACAACCAAGGGTAAACATATAATCTCAGTAGATGTAAAAAAATGCATTTGAAAAAAATCCAACATCCATTTATGGTAAAAACTCCCAACAATGTATGTATAGAGGGAACATACTTCAACCTAATAAAGGCAATATATGATATATCTAGCTTACTATTGTCAATGGTGAAAAATGGAAAGTGTTTTCTCTAAGATCAGGAGCAAGACAGGGATACCCACTCTCGCTGATTTATTCAACATAGTATTAGAAGTCTTAGCCATAGCAACAAGACATTAAAAAGAAGGAAAACTCACTACTTGCAGATGATGATATGATACTGTATAGAACACCTTAAGAATCACACAACAAAAAATTATTGCTAATGTTGCAGGATACAAAATTAATATAGAGAAATATGTTGGGTTCCTACATATTAATAATGAACTATCTAACCAAGGATATGAAAGAGCTGTATTCTGAAAATTGTAAGAGGTTGATTAAAGCAATTGATGACACAAATAAATGGAAGGATATATTGTGCTCAATGATTGGAAGAATTAAAATCGTTTTAATGTCCATACTACCTAAAACAGTCCACAGATTCAGTGCAATTCCTATTAAAATGCCAGTGGCATTATTCATAGTACTAAAACAATCCCAAAATTTATATGGAACTGCAGAAGACCCTTAACAGCTACCAAATGTTTAAAAAGAACAGTTTGGAAGTATCACACACCCTGAATTCAAAATGAATGTCTGTAGCAATAAAACAATATGGAACTTGTATAAAAGAAGACACATAGATCCATGGAACAGAATAGAGAGCCCAGAAATAAGTCCATGCCTGTATGGTCAATTAATCTATAACAAAGGAGTCAAGAAGACACAATGGGGAAAAGACAGTCGCTTCAATAAACAGTGTTGAATAAACTGGACTAATATATGCAAAATTATGAAAATGTACCATTTTCTTTCAGTTTACACAAAAATTAAAAAGATTAAGGACTTAAATGGAAGACCTTAAAACCATAATAATCTTAGAGGAAACGTTAGTAGTAAGTAAACTCATTTTATTTATTTATATATATATTTGGCTATGTCTCCTCAGGCACATAGACAAGAAAAACAAAAACAAACGGGATTACATCAAGCTAAAAGCTTTTTTGCACAGAAAAGTAAATCCCCAAGACAGAAAAGGCAACTTAACACATAGGAGAATATATTTGCAAATGGTATATACCGTAAGGTGTTAAAATCTAAAATATATTGTATAAAAAACTCATACATCGCAACATCAAAATAACCCAAACAACCTGATTAAAAAATGGATAGGGCACCAAATAGACATTTCTCCAAAGAAGATATACAGATGGCCAACAGATATGTGAAAGACTGTTGAACATCACTAATAATCAAGGAAATGCAAATCAAAACCACAATGGCTGAATGGCTGTCAGAATGGCTGTTATCAAATAGACAACAAATAATGTGTTTGTGAACATATGGAGAAAAGGGAACCCTCCTACTGCTGGTGGGAATGTAAACTAGTACAGCCACTATGGGAAGATTATAGAAGTTCCTCAGAAATATAAAAGGAGAGCTACCGTACAACCGGCAATTCAATTTCTGGGTATTTGTCCCAAGAAAACAAAAGTGCTAATTCCAAAAGATATATGCACCCGTATGTTCATTGTAGCATTATTTACCATAGCCAATCTATGGAAGCAAGCTAGATGTCCATGGGTAGATGAAGAGATAAAGAGGGTAAGGTGTATATACACACATAGTGGAATCTTTTCAACTACATGGATGGACCTAGAGGGACCAAGTGAAATAAGGTAAAGAAAGACAAATGCCATTTTATATCACTCAAGTGGAATGTAAAAACCAAAATAAATGAACAAACAAAACAGAAATGACTCATTGATACCAAAAATAAACTAATGGTTGCAGAGGGGAGGGTGGGGTGGGGGGTATGGGCAAAAGGTAAAGAACATTAAGAGGTGCAAACTTGCAGTCGTAAAGTAAGTCATGGGGGTACATTGTATAGTGTAGGGAGTCTACTCAATATCATAATTTTGTGGTACGAGTTACTAGACTTGTCGAGGTAATCATTTTGTAAGATACATACGTGTTGAATCATGATGTTGAATCACATTATGTGTCACATGCTATTTTTGTACCATCATTCTCTTCTTCCTCTCCCCGTCCTCCCTACCTTCACTCCCTGCTTTTCCTTCCCCTCGGCCCAGCTCTGAAAGAATCAGGGCTCCTCTGGCCCAATCTTACCCCACACAGGGACCTTCCTTGGGGGCACAGGGGCAGGGCCACTTTTTGAAGTTATTCATTGTTAAATTAGCAGGTTTCTCTTTTACGACCTCCTGGTCAGTCTCTAAGACTGATACTTTGCAGTGGTTTCTACAGGTTTTCTGACATAGTAGGTGTTACCTATCAATTCAGTGTTTTGTGTCTAGAGAGCTGTCTGCTTTAATATCTGTGGGGATTGATGGAGGCTCTGACTACTCAGGTAGCCCTTATTAAGCGATAAATGTTTGTGCTTGGCTGGTGTGGTTCAGTGGTTGCTTGTTGACCTATGCACTAAGAGGTCACTGTTTGATTCCTGGTCAGGGCACATGCCTGGGTTTCAGGCTGGCTCCCCAATCGGGGGTGTGCGGGAGGCAGCTAATAGATGATTTTCTCTCATCATTGAGGTTCCCTTCTTCTCTGAAATCAATAAAAATATTTATATTTTTCAAAAAGAGATAAATATTTGGAAGACACAGCTACCATAGTGACCTACCCTGCTTTTCTTAATTCTGTAAGGATTAAGCGTAAAAAAAGAAGACATTTCCTTTAAACATCATATTTCCATATAGTATTCTCTTTTGTTAAGCATCCTGAGCGTACGGTTTAAGCAGTCCCCTAAGACCAGAGGTCCCCTAAGACTGAGGAGGTCCAGCTGAAGTCCCGAGATGGCTCTTGGAAAGCACCGGAGGGTCTGGAGTTGACTCAGTGTTTGTTCACAAAGGTCCCTTTCGGAGAATATGCTGCAACGAAAGCTTCTGCGAAGCTTTCTGGGAAGGAGCTGAGGTTAAAATGCACAAATTCTTGCTAGTACATTTCATTTTGGGAGAGTTCAGGAAAGACTGTTTAAAGATATGTTAAAAGAAGCAAAGGAAGTCATAGACCATAATAAACAAGCAAAAGGGTCGTAGGCTTCTCTCCTCTATTGAAAAACAAACATTAACTTTGTTTTGCTATAAAGCTCAGTGACGGATAACTTTAGATTTTATTGGCCACATAAAGAAGAGTTTAGTCTTTTCCTAGATGTGTGAAATTAGGACTTTCTTATCCTGAGTAAAATAGGAGAGCAGGTTTCCAGGATTCGGTTTGTTCGTTCCTGTGGTTTTCTTTATACGTGTGGCACGTATAACAAGGCATGGATTCTGGAAACAGCCCACCTGGATTGTAATTGCAGCTGCACAACTTCAGGTGATTTAGTCGACTCCTTTGTGCTTCAGTTTCCACTCCTGTAGCATGGAGGTTGTTGTAATATCTGTCGCAAAAATTACTTTCAAGATGGAGTGATTTAATGGTAAAGCTGTGGGAACAGTGCCTGGCACATTACAAACTATTACTATTGAGGTTTAGCATACCCACAGATTAACCAGGGGTGTGCTAAAAGTAACTGACTTGTGCATCTTTTGCATTATTATTTATTTTTTTACTTTTAAAATCTATTTTTTTTGTTTTACAATATTTCCTTTATTATTATTATGCAATGAAGTTCATACACAGCATAACTTAACCCATCCCGGTATATACTCTCTGATCTCAAAGTCATTCCTAGGAATCACAGGATCACTTAGGTGGAGGGATCTCCTTGACAATGGGGAGGGTTGGTCACATCCTTCTCTAAGCGACAATCACTGAGGTCAGGGAGACATCTCTCCACACTTGAACCATCTTCACAGATCCTGGCTCAATTCGATGGCGAAAATGGTAGCATTGGGCATCATTTACTGATACGTGGTACTCCTTTGCCAGCACCGAGATGTCCAGTTCAAAGGATTGGCCATCCTCAAAGGGCATAACAGTCGATGTCTCCTCATCACCCCATATCCCACCCTGACGGGTGTTCATCACCACTTTGTTTGGGCCAAAGTACACGCGGAAACAGAAGGCGATGCCTGAGTTAATTTCATTTCCAGTGTGGAAATCCACCTGCATATCTGGGTCCATACTGAAAGGCATGGCAGATGTCCCTTTGATTTTCACTGAAGAACCAACAGACAAGGATACGTGTTTTGTATATGGGACCGGTAGCAAAGCCATTGTTGTGCTTTCTGCTAGGAAGCTCTTCCAAATTGTGTGTACTTGTGTCTTAAAATCTATTTTTATTGATTTCAGTGAGGAGAGGGAGAGATAGAAACATCAATAATGAAAGAGAATCATTGATTGGCTGTCTTCTGCACACCCCACACTGGGGAGGGAGCCCACAACCCAGCCAGATGCCCTGACTGGGAATCAAACCATGACCTCCAGGTTCCTAGGTCAATGCTGAACCATTGAGCCACGCCAGCTGAGCACCTTTTGCATTTTTAAAAGTAGGTTTCATATAAGTAATGAGAAGCCAGATTCGATTCCACTGGGTGCCCGTGTATTCTGCTATATTTCGTGAAAAACACCTGTTAGTTTTTTCCCCCCTTTCCTTACTTGATGCGATAACCTATTTCATTCACTCAATAAATATTTCTTCGTTGCCTACAACATTCTGGGCATGAGTGAGAGGGTAATAAACAAGATCCTCTGCACTTAAAGAGCACTAATCCATCCCTTTTCACTCTCCTGTGAATTGTAGACCTGATTCAGCCTGTGTAGAAAAACAGTTCATTTTACTCCTTTTCTTCCCTGTTGTATAGTAAAACCACTTGATGATTTGCGCTGCACACTTTGCACATAGTTTCTTAGAAGTTTTCCTCTGTGTGTGTGTGTGTGTGTGTGTGTATCTTTTGATATACAATTTATACAATATAAACATTTTTACTGTAACTGTCACTGCATTTTTGTTAGCTTTTCCTTATGTCTGGAGGATCTTAGAAGTCTCTTTCAAGAGGCTTTTTCAATCCCTGATCCTGATTGATTGGGTTGCGTGTGGGAGGCATCTGATTGATGTGTCTCTCTCATATTGATGTTTCTCTCTCTCTCTGTCCCTCTCCCTTCCACTCTCTCTCAAAAAATAAACAGAAAATTTTCCTTGGCTGAGGATTAACAACAACAACAAAAGTGTGGTAAATGCAAAGTAGAAACCTGTAAAATAAAAGGCAAATAAGTTAGAGGCCTGGAATATTCAAACCTCTTGAGTCAGCGAGATGTCATAGACATTAATGTGACTCTGGGTTTAGTGGAAGGAGCCCAGGAATCCCAGGCTGTAACTCCTGCCCTGCCCTTGGCTAGGTGCCCTTGGCAGGGCTGGCTCCATGGGGGTGCACCTTCTGCAGTTGCTCAGGGCCCCGCAGGCAGAAGGGCCCTGTGCTGGGTTTAATGCTCTGTGGTTGCTTCCTGGTGTTGGAATGAAGGATCTACATTTTCCTTTTGCCTTCTGTCCTGTGAATTATGTAGCTAGTTCTGGCCATTAACTGGTTACTTCTCTGAACTTAACACAAGGCAACAAAGATCGTGGATAAATCTCAAGATATGAAATTCTATGAGTCCCAATGAAGTTTTCTAGACACTCAAAAAGTTCCTGATCCAGCCTCTTAGTGAGTCTCAACCATGAGCAAGTTTGCCCCCTAGTGGACATTGAGCAGTGCCAGGGGACATCTTTAGTTGTCCCAGCTCAAGGGAAGGTGCAATTGTCATTTAGTGGGGGTGGGAGGAAGTTTACTCCTAAATAATGCTCAGGACAGCCTTCACTCTTTTAGCCTCAAGTTCAGCGCTGCCAAGGTTGAGAAACTCCATGTAGCTCATTATTTGTCTCCAACACCTGTTTCTGGCCCAGCGGAATTATTCAATGTTCCTAGAACCCGTGGGTGCAACATGGATCTTAGGGATTTGCATTCCTTACTGTATTCAGTAAATGTAAGCTAACATGTGCATGAGGTACAAGACAGAGATGCTGTCCTGGAGCACTTCCTCTTCTCATTTATCCTGTTAACTGCTGGGCACCCAACCCTCTTAAAACCTTCAGTAAAACACAGGGTGCTCACAGCTGGTGGGCGGCTTTCCAAGATGACTTTGTACTGCTGCTCTCACCTGTTGGGCTGCTGGCTTACTAAGTTTTTTTTTAATTTTTAATTTTTCCTGTTTTTACCAAGTTCTTTAGGTATGTTCCCAAATCTATTGTATTATGGCATTGCACTGGTTGCTGTAATGTAATGATGTAAATTCCAACTATGATAGGAATTTAGGGAGAGAAAAGTTCTTAAAAGTGGAAGAGATTCCATGAAAATCCAAGCAGAGTGCTTTGGAGAGATTCAGTAAAGGTGTCACTAAAGATAATTGCGCTCGAATTAAGTGTAGGCAAGATAACGCTGAAAGATTTTGGAGAGAATAATTTAAACTAGATCCTGTGTTGAATTTGCATAACTACTTAAAGTGTTCGCTGTTCTTTATGCAGATTACAGACAATTACATCTGTGGTTTTTGAAAGGAAAATAATGGCCCGCTGATTCATGCCCAGAGAAAAGGCCTTGTCCGACATCACAAGATTGCAGAGTGAATGGCATTTAAGTATTTTAGGGTAATATGAATTATTTGATTTAGGAAGGCAACTTTAGATGACTTGCTACCGTGTCAGACAGCAGGGCTTCTATTATATTTTCTGGTGAAAAACAAAGAAAAGGAATATAATTAAATATTTTTATTTTGTCACTTCTAGAGCCATACAACTCTCAGTTCTGTGAATACTTTTTAAAGATATATTGTTATTTATTTAAGAGAGGAAGGGAGAGGAAGAGAGATATAGAAACATCAATAATGAGAGAGAATTATTGATCGGCTGCCTCCCGCATGCCCCACTACTGGGAATTGAGCCCACAACCTGGGCATATGCCCTTGACTGGAATCAAACCAGGGACCTTCCAGTCTGCAGTCTGATGCTCCATCCACTGAACCAAACTGGCTAGGGCTGTGAATAATTTTTTTGACTTAACACCAACTTAAATCTTAAGATATTTCTTACATTTTTTTTATTCCATAAACATCAACCTAAGGTCTGCCTCTTGCCAGATTCAGTACTGAAGTGTTCAGGGGCTGTTTGCTTCTGTTTCAGTTTATATATATTCTACCTTGAATTTTTCAGGTGCCTATATAGATTAGAGGTAAAGTGTCACATTCCTTTAAAATTGAACAGGTATAAATAATATGATCAGAAGTGCAACCAAATCACTTCATTTCAAAATACTGTTGGAAGTAAGGTAAGAGATGTTTGTCAGCATTTTCATGCTGGTTTTTACCTTGTTATTCTCTTGTTAGGACTCATGTTCCTGAATTAGATTTGAGAGCAGAGTTCTGAGTTTCTCAATACTGAACTTGTTAAGAGAGAGAGAGAAAAAAGAAAGGTGGATTTCTTTTCAATATAAATCAACCATTATATTGGTACTTTTTGTTAACATTTTAAAATAATGTTTTATTTTCCATTAGAAAATAAAAGAAACGTCTGGTCAACCGGTCACTATGAAGTGCACTGACCACCAGGGAGCAGCAGATGCTCAACTGAGGAGCTGCCCCCTGGTGGTCATTGTGCTCAGGAGTGCCACTCAGCCAGAAGGCAGGCTCAGGGCTGGCGAGCACTGCTGAGGCAGCACAAGCCTCTCCCGCCTTCGCAGCAGTGCTACCAAGTGTCAGTGGCAGGTGCAATGGGCCAGGATGAGTGGGAGCAGAGCCTGGCCCCGGCTTGGGCTCCTCCCAGGCCGCCTGCTGCTTCGGGCCGAAACGGACATTCCAACATCCTCCGAGGGGTCCCAGATTGTGAGAGGGTGCAGGCCAGGCTGAGGGACCTCACCAGTGCACGAATCCATGCACCGGGCCTCTACTTTGGTCATAAAAGGAAAGAAAGGATTTAACATTTATGATCAAAGACATCAGGCTCTTTATTTATTTATTTTATTTTATTTTTAAAAATATATTTTATTGATTTTTTTACAGAGAGGAAGTAAGAGAGATATTTAAAAACATTGATCAGCTGCCTCTTGCACACCCCCTACTGTGGATGTGCCCACAAACAAGGTACATGTCCTTGACCAGAATCGAACCTGGGACCTTTCAGTCCGCAGGCTGACGCTCTATCCACTGAGCCAAACCGGTTTTGGCTCTTTTTTTAACAAGTAGTTTAACAAGTAATACATAAATGCAGCCTCCCTTGAAAAAGTTAGAACATTATAGAGAAAGCTAAATTTTTCTCTGCCCATCGGATATGGACTTGGAATCCACAACCATACAGATTTTTTATAGGTGTGGTATCATAGTGCGTTGACTGTTTAGCTAATTTACTCAGTTAAGTTGTGTCCGTTTGAACCAGCCTCTTCTATAAATCTAGCTCATTCCTTTTAGCTGTTCACTGATATTTCAGATATGAATACACATTTTATCAGATTGTCCTTCTGTTAATGGACATTAAGTTGTTTTGTATCGACAGATACAAAATGAAACATCTTTGTTGAGCACTTGTCCATGTTTTTCTCTGTAAAAATCGGTAGAGAAGCTAAGTAACTTTCTCAAAGTTCACCCTGTTAAAAGCAGTGAAGCTAAAAATTCAAAACAAAGCTGATCTTATTGAACCATAGGCATTCATCAATGTGCTTGCTATATAGGTCTATCCTTTTTACCATCTAAGATTCATGCCAGTCTCTTCGTGGCCGATGTGTGTGGCTCAGTTGGTGGGACTTCATTGGGTTGATATGATAATTAAATTAAGGAATCTAAATGGCTTGCAACAGTGCTAGGCATACAATAATTACATAAGAAAATCTATTATAGTTATTTTTGCATAAGTACTGCAGCAAAATAAGACAGAAGATTAGGATATTACTTTGGAATTAGGCTGTCTGGGCATTAATCTCACCTCTACCAATTATTATCTTTGTGTCTTTGGATAGCATAAACTTTCTTTATCTCAGTTTCCTTATCTATAAAAGGGTAATAATTATTTTCTTTTTGTTGTTGTTGTGTTTTGGTTGTGTGGTATTATATGAGATGTTGAAAAAAAATTTTGTGAATTCTCAAATTCTAGGTTTTTTTTTTTTTTTTTTTTTTTTTTAAAAAACAAGAACAACATACAATACTCCTTGAAAGTTCTTGTCTTTGAAGAGGACTTACTTTTTTTTTTATATCAGGAGTTAAGGCATATTAGGGATTTAGAATGCTGTTAGACCCTTCAATAATCTC